GCACCAAAATATGTTTGCTTACAGAGAAGGTGTTAGAACCACAGAATGCCTCACCTCCCTCCTGGATCAAATCAATGACAAACCTGGAATCCTTATTTTTCAGGGTCAAAAAAAAACTTCGAGCTAGACAATGCACCAGCTACACTGTGCTGCCTGGTGGATAAGGAAATCAAAGGACACGCTCTTGCCTTTGCCAAAGGAAGCCTGCTTAACAGAGAAGCTAAAGTCAAATTCCAAGGAAAAACATCCTCCTCAGAGAGGCTGGAAAATGGAATACTAAGGAGGCAGGGAGGAATACTAAGCCCCTTCCTCTTCAATTGTCTCATGGAACAATTCATGAAGCTCAAGTTACGAAAAGCCGAATTGCTTAATTATGCAAGCGACTTTGTGGTCATTATCAATTGCCAAGACGCTGGGAACCATGCACAAAAATGCCTAGACATCATCAGCAGGGAAAAGGAACGCATAACAGTAAAAATAAACAGCAATAAACCAAAAGCAATGGCCACAAAAATAAGAACTCAAGACATCAGACTCGCAATACAAGGACACGAAATTGAGTGAGTTACCTACATTCAGTACCTTGGAGTCATAAGAGTTATTAGAAAATCACTCAAGAAATTGAATATCTTCGGCAACGTTGCAAAGCCAAAAACTCAGCTTTGTGCTCCCTGACAAGTCTTAGAGATGGTGCATCTCTGCCAGTACTCAAAATGTACTACGTTCAAGCAGTTAGGTCACTCATTGACCATGCTGCTCCTGCTCTTACATTCCTATGATAACCAATGGGAGAAACTTGAAGTGTTACAAAATGATGCTCTCAGAACAATGCTGGGAGCACCTATGTGGAAGTAATGAGAGAATCTAAGAATGGAAACCAACTTCTCGGCCTTAGAAACAGGATCAAATAAAGAATAGCAATCATAACAGCAAAATTTGATGGAACCACCGCCAGACTATCAATCAAAGATAGCATACACAGATCGCTTCACAGAGACCTTCAATACTGAACAAGAGCATGGACGGATAATCTGGTCAAGATTCTAGAAAAAGTGGACTTGAAACTGACCATTAGAAACAAAAGAAGATAGCACATATCAACACTTTCGGCAGCCTCCTCCATGGGAAGAATCGAGTCTAAATATAATTATTGAAGGATTGATTACCAGTTAAAAAATCAGCGTGTGACTCGCAGAGGCTCAAAACAGTTATACAACAACAAATTGAAACCATCTCAAGACCTACAACGACTCACATCTTCACAGACGGATCAGTTATTCAAGAAAGAGGTTCAGCTGAGGCAGCAGTTTACACTAACAACCATGAAGCTTACTGGAGCATGAATAGTGGGTCCGACTCTGAACCTTCGCTGCAGGCATTGTTATCCAGCTTGCAAGGATATAATATACAACTCGTCCCATAATTCCTACATACAGGAAAGGAAGCACATAATCTAGGGCTGTCAATCATCCTAAATTGGATACCAAGTCAAATTGGCATAGATGGTAATAAAAAGCCAGACTCACTAGCAAAAGCTGCCACTGCTCTACCTGTTGGACAGGTTAAAATACCGCCAAGTTTCTCACAGATTAAAGAGCAAATCAAGAAGATATAAGAGATATCGTAGAAGGGAAGGGGGGAAAGCGCCAAGCCCTTTATGACTAAATAGCACTTAGAAGGGGTCACGATAAGGATTTGGGATGGGACGGGGGGAAGGAATGGTGCCCAACCACTTGGACGGTCGGGGATTGAACGCCGACCTATAAGAAAATACTCCCAACTATCAAAAGTCGCCACAGAGCCAAAGTAGCGGAAGGAAGATCCACTGCGATGTGGTACGAACAAGCCACTGGGTACTACTCTTTCAAGCCTATCCAAAATATATCCAGAGACATCGCAGTAGCCATACACAGACTCAGACTTGGTTACAAGTACTGCTGGGGGGTAATATACCTAATACATAAAGAGTGTCATATTTGTTGAACAAAACCAGAAATTCCACTATTACATTAATTACTGGAATGTGAAACAACTGAAGCCCTGCACATTAAACTCAACATTCATCCAACGACAGCAGCTGTATTAAATGCAAAATCCACAGCGACTACAATGGTCAGAAAAGCAGTTGAAGAATGGGACACAGTAGTGAACACTCTGCATCTATATCAGCCTTTTAATAAAACAAAAGACTAAAATCAGAGCGTTAAAACAGAAGTGGAAAAGAAAGTGAAGAAAAGAAGGAAAAAATATTTCCATATAAAACTCTGACCTAAATATCACATTAACAACGTTATCGCGAATAACTGAACACAATTACGGGCTCAGTGGTCGTGCTACATGGACATTGTCGTACTAGAAAATGGCAGCGGCTCGCGAAATTGACATACTGTCCCGTTTTCTGTTTTGGGTCCTCTGGTAGGTTAGGATAAGGGAACTTTATTACGACAGTTTATTGATGTAGGGAAACCTTAGGAGGACGAGCTGGTTTATCAGTTATCATGATTCAGATTCTGTATAAATATTGGTCATCATCAGTGATAAAATAACAGAGTAGAGGTGACTCAAACATAATGTATCAATGACATTTATTGACAAGAAAACACTTATCATTCAGAAAGTGTAACAGCCTAGACAAGATTAGACACTAGGCGCTCGTGGCCCACTTAAACGCAATGTGCACATGACTACAGTGTACTCGCTCTTGAGTGTCACTAAACCAAATTCTGAGCAGCAACTTGAGACACAAGTCAGTGAGGCTAAGTACAATAATGCTGTATGTTAACTGTAACCTCACATTACATATAATACTTCACACCGATATCTCGAGTCGTAACTAGGCTATGACAATCAACTTTGACTTCCACCAAACTCGAATACTTTCACAGAAATATCTTGAGATTATTTCAGGGCTTAGTGTCCCAGCGGCCCGGTCCTCGACCAGGCCTCCACCCCCAGGAAGCAGCCCGTAGCTGTCTAACTCCCAGGTACCTATTTACTGGTAGGTAACAGGGGCATCAGGGTGAAAGAAACATTTCGCCCATTTGTCTCCGCCTCCACCACCATCGAACCCGGAACCTCAGGACTACGAATCCGAAGCGCTGTCCACCCAGCTGTCAGGCGCCCAGGTAAACACAATTACGAAAATAATTCATATAATATTAGCACAGTTCAGTATACGAATGACCTAATATCACTCCTATGAAGGACACTAACTCTGGGGTTCGTCGGGGAGTTACTATCGGAGTCCTTCTTGCATGCAAGCGGCCACAACCTGCAACTGGTGACGGCATCTCTCTATGTAGCACTTGATGGCGTGGCTCTGTAATCTCGCCCAGAGAAATGCTGCAATGTTCCTTATCCTGGACGGCCGGATAACATGGAGCACAATGGGAGGTAGATCTGTCATTGTCCCCACACGAGTAGATGGTAGTGGAGCATATGGTCGTAGGAGTACGTCATATAGGTAGATGATGAGTAGTGTGGATCAGTAACACTCCAGGGGTTGATCTAGTCTACTTGCTGACTAGAGGTAGACCGGATCACACGGATGACAACTGCAAGTAACTGGCGTGTCAACTGGCACCCTCCCAGGCCCTCTATGCAACACTGTGCCGTTGCAGATCATGTTGCTCTTCCTCCTAGCTAACGCTCCACACATCACTGGTATCTAGTAGCTCTACCTAGCTCGTCCCTTAACATGAATGTCACTGTACACTGTCTGTGCCACACTGACACAGACAGTGTGGCAGTAAGTACTGCACATTTCCTCCTTCTCAGCTCACTGCACTGTTCTTCACTGACTAATAATGTCACTGGATGTTCACTTGGCATCATTTACCTGCACTTTCCTTACCGTCCAGCCTCTTCCGGTCTGGGGCTGCTGCTTCCTCGTCATCGTTGATAGTTCAGCAGTATTAGGCTGTGTTGTATTGGGCTGTGTTGTATTAGGCTGTGTTGTATTAGGCTGTGTTGTATTAGGCTGTGTTGTATTAGGCTGTGTTGTATTAGGCTGTGTTGTATTAGGCTGTGTTGTATTAGGCTGTGTTGTGTTAGGCTGTGTTGTATTAGGCTGTGTTGTATTAGGCTGTGTTGTATTAGGCTGTGTTGTATTAGGCTGTGTTGTATTAGGCTGTGTTGTATTAGGCTGTGTTGTATTAGGCTGTGTTGTGTTAGGCTGTTGTATTAGGCTGTGTTGTATTAGGCTGTGTTGTATTAGGCTGTGTTGTATTAGGCTGTGTTGTATTAGGCTGTGTTGTATTAGGCTGTGTTGTATTAGGCTGTGTTGTGTTAGGCTGTTGTATTAGGCTGTTGTATTAGGCTGTGTTGTATTAGGCTGTGTTGTATTAGGCTGTGTTGTATTAGGCTGTGTTGTATTAGGCTGTGTTGGTGTTGTATTAGGCTGTGTTGTATTAGTTAGGCTGTTGTATTAGGCTGTTGTATTAGGCTGTGTTGTATTAGGCTGTGTTGTATTAGGCTGTGTTGTATTAGGCTGTGTTGTATTAGGCTGTGTTGTATTAGGCTGTTGTATTAGGCTGTGTTGTATTAGGCTGTGAAGAAGTTCTACAAAACTCTGCACTAAAGAGCGCGCAGAGTTCCGTAGAGCGCCGTGACCATAGCTGCTCACTGCTCAAATGACGGAGCCAATGCAGCCATTTTCAGAAAATTAGTTGATAGATAAACCCCTTTCCCAGAGTGTCCTGAAAACATCAATTTCTTCTAAACCGTTCAACTTGCAAACTTCGTGTTTGACCTGAAATGGTCTCCTGGGCCGTCATGTATATACGAGTGGTGGGGAAATGGTTCTTGATGTGTTCATCAAAATATTATGATGATACAACATTCATAGAAGATTCGGATGACGGTATAGCCTCTACGACCTTCAAGGGTTTGAAGATGGAATTCTTTGAAAATATAGAGCACGTTTCTGACAGCGATGGACACAATAAAATGTCACTTTTTCACTGCGCTCCTGCAGTGGAAAAGTCGCTTAAACGACTTACGCTGCGTGTCCTGAGAGCGCCTCTATATCAGCCGACATTTTGACCAATTAAAAGAGTGCTCGCAGTGCAATTATTATATAGTGCAAATTTATTCATTCTATTATTTTGTTAATATATTCAATGTCAATATGCGGGGCGGAATTGTAAAACAATTCCCAATATACAGAGACAACATTGTTACCAGAGAAAAATGTAATAAACTGAGCAGAGCTGGTCCATGTTGGTATACGTATACACTCCCATGTTGGTATACGTATACACTCCCATGTTGGTATACATATACACTCCCATGTTGGTATATGTATACACTCCCATGTTGGTATACATATACACTCCCATGTTGGTATATGTATACACTCCCATGTTGGTATACATATACACTCCCATGTTGGTATATGTATACACTCCCATGTTGGTATATGTATACACTCCCATGTTGGTATATGTATACACTCCCATGTTGGTATATGTATACACTCCCATGTTGGTATATGTATACACTCCCATGTTGGTATACATATACACTCCCATGTTGGTATATGTATACACTCCCATGTTGGTATACGTATACACTCCCATGTTGGTATATGTATACACTCCCATGTTGGTATATGTATACACTCCCATGTTGGTATACGTATACACTCCCATGTTGGTATACATATACACTCCCATGTTGGTATATGTATACACTCCCATGTTGGTATATGTATACACTCCCATGTTGGTATACGTATACACTCCCATGTTGGTATATGTATACACTCCCATGTTGGTATACATATACACTCCCATGTTGGTATACGTATACACTCCCATGTTGGTATACATATACACTCCCATGTTGGTATACATATACACTCCCATGTTGGTATACATATACACTCCCATGTTGGTATACATATACACTCCCATGTTGGTATACATATACACTCCCATGTTGGTATACATATACACTCCCATGTTGGTATACGTATACACTCCCATGTTGGTATACGTATACACTCCCATGTTGGTATACGTATACACTCCCATGTTGGTATACGTATACACTCCCATGTTGGTATACGTATACACTCCCATGTTGGTATACGTATACACTCCCATGTTGGTATATGTATACACTCCCATGTTGGTATACGTATACACTCCCATGTTGGTATACATATACACTCCCATGTTGGTATACATATACACTCCCATGTTGGTATACGTATACACTCCCATGTTGGTATATGTATACACTCCCATGTTGTTATACATATACACTCCCATGTTGGTATACATATACACTCCCATACCAAACATTTCGACCGTTTACGACTCATCAAAATCTATGGAAAACGAGCAGTGCTTGAAGAGAATTAATGTAATACTGTACGTAGATATATGACACGTATATATATATGGCATGTATATATATATATAGCACATATGCATTTGGTATATATCTGGCCGCGACCTGACGCGTTTACATTAACCCATATTATATAAACATTATGCAACTTATGTAGTAGTTCAGTATACATAAATGTATACCTACCATACTGGTGGTAAGTCAACATGTAGCAACGAAATTGTTTATGTATACTAACCCTATCAAATATCAACCAATGGTCCAGCTGGGACCGCACCATCGTGGATAAAGAAGATACAGATATGCAGGAAAGAGGAAAAATAGCCAGAGTCTGATGTTGCCAATGTCTGCAACAGGCGCACGTCTTGCCTTCAAACACCGCTGTTTTGTTATAGGTTCTCCTCCTTCTTTCACAGTTAAACACTTTATATATATGTAATGATAATAATAATAGTAATTTTGTATACCCTAACATATGTGCAGGTTTGGCATATAGGCAGAATAAGATACATGAAGGTTGCAATGGTCTACACTACAGGCAATGCAAAGGAAAGCATGCAAAATACAACGATGACCAGGGTAGCATTAAGATGAGCTTAGCCTCCACCAAGTGTCCAGCAGAAAGAGAGCCTCTACCAAGTGTCCAGCAGAAAGAGAGCCTCTACCAAGTGTCCAGCAGAAAGAGAGCTTCTACCAAGTGTCCAGCAGAAAGAGAGTCCCTATCAAGTGTCCATCAGGTAGAGAGCCTCTACCAAGTGTCCAGCAGAAAGAGAGCTTCTACCAAGTGTCCAGCAGAAAGAGAGCTTCTACCAAGTGTCCAGCAGAAAGAGAGTCCCTATCAAGTGTCCATCAGGTAGAGAGCCTCTACCAAGTGTCCAGCAGAAAGAGAGCTTCTACCAAGTGTCCAGCAGAAAGAGAGCTTCTACCAAGTGTCCAGCAGAAAGAGAGTCCCTATCAAGTGTCCATCAGGTAGAGAGCCTCTACCAAGTGTCCAGCAGAAAGAGAGCTTCTACCAAGTGTCCAGCAGAAAGAGAGCTTCTACCAAGTGTCCAGCAGAAAGAGAGTCCCTATCAAGTGTCCAGCAGGTAGAGAGCCTCTACCAAGTGTTCAGCAGAGAGCTTCTACCAAGTGTCCAGCAGAAAGAGAGTCCCTATCAAGTGTCCAGCAGGTAGAGAGCCTCTACCAAGTGCTCAGCAGAAAGTAAGCCTCTTTTTTCATTAATGTTCCCTGCTGGTTAACCACACGGAATTACCCTCCCCGTGCGGTCCTCCCGCCCCTGGACGACGGGCAGACAACTAGCGTGGCACTAAACATATGTGTTCACAGTGCCAGACAGTTGCACTTAGTTACCTTATTACATTACATTGTCGCTCAGAAATCAACTCGCTAAATTGTTGCTGTAATATTTTCACATTTACACTTTAGGTTTATCAACAGGAATCCTTATTCTTTCGGTTTTTATTTTGAATTTTAAGAAGAGGCTTTCTATTCCTGTATATTCCAGTAGCGTTTACGTCAACACAGGTTACATATAGGATGGTTATATTGTTCACGAGCACATGTGTTGATTAATTAGCTTAGTGTTGAGTGTCAAGTTGGTACGTTGTGGACAGTGTTGGGCACATTAATTATGGTTGGGCGCCTTGTGTCTCTCTCCTGACCCCACTGCTGTCTCCCCTGACCCCACTACCGTCTCTCCTGACCCCACTACCGTCTCTCCTGACCCCACTACCGTCTCTCCTGACCCCACTACCGTCTCTCCTGACCCCACTGCCGTCTCTTCTGACCCCACTACCGTCTCTCCTGACCCCACTACCGTCTCTCCTGACCCCACTACTGTCTCTCCTGACCCCACTACCGTCCCCCGTGACCCCACTACCGTCTCCCCTGGCCCCACTACTAACTGTGCTCCATCCCGTCACCATACTGGACCATCTACCTCTAACACCACACAAAAGAACGCCGTGCTTGAGGCACAGCCTGCAGGGTCCTCGGTACTAATGGCCGCTCCACCTCCCCTCTGCTATAGTGGAGAGACTCACTCTACCTAATTATCCAAATGTTGATAGCCGACGCCCTAGATTTTCGTTTTACCCGAAAACGAATTAAAATTAATTCAGTATTACAGATAAATGATAAGGGAATGTTGAGGGCGAGGCGGAGAAGAGAGGTGAGAGATGGGGAAGGGAGAGAGGGAGCTGGGGATATTCCCAGGGCGCAGCCTAGCTCTTCCCCTTCCCTCTAGTCTATCTCTAAAATACAATATTTGGGTGTTTACCTGGTTAATGTTGGTGGCATTATATTTGGGGCTAACCTTACATTATTTGACACGGGGAGTGATGACTTTATGGGGCGACTCTTAAGGCGGTCTGGGTCGGCCCCTATGCCATCCTTAAGGTGGCATCGGTCTTCCTACACACCCGCCACCAAGAAAGGCGATGAGACTCTTGCTCTTCTCAAAGCTGTGACACTTCAAACAATTGTCTCCTCCATCGACAATTGAAGATCTCACGAGTGTCTATACCGACGGTTCAGTCCAATCTTCTACTGGACGGACTGCAGCAGCATGTAGGTTTTATAGAAATAATATTTGCACAAAGACTGTCAGTGTCAGGTTAAACAACTGGCTGACCTCCACACAAGCAGAACTAGCGGCGCTACAACTAGCTACCACTACATTATAAAACATAGGAGGAGGAGGAAAAATATTTTGTGATTCAAAGATTGCTCTGCAAGCAATTGAAAACTTCTCCTGGAAGATCGACAGCAAGAACTTCATACTACCAATTATAAATGACCTAATCGATGCACAGAGTAAAGGGTTTCGAATCTCCTTTGTATGGATACCATCACACATGAATATAACCCATCATAATGAGACAGACATTGCAGCCAAATTAGCGTGTAGCAAAGATGATGTTGAATTAGACCCAGGTATCCCCATCACTGCTGTATAAATTATATTGCTCCAAACACTCAGGTGTGCTAGGAGAGAAATTGCTGACTTCCAACGACCTGAAAGCACCAGTATAAAATGCTATGATTTGGTCAGATCTGAAACCTATGTTTATGGGCAGCACAAAACGTCCACCAGACTCTGCGACACTGTGGATGCCAGGATCAGGTTGGGTTACCGTTACCTGTGGCGGGTGGCTACCGTTACCTGTGGCAGGTGGCTACCGTTACCCGTGGCAGGTGGCTTCCGTTACCCGTGGCAGGTGGCTACCGTTACCTGTGGCAGGTGGCTACCATTACCTGTGGCAGGTGGCTACCGTTACCTGTGGCAAGTGGCAACCGTTACCTGTGGCAAGTGGCTACCGTTACCTGTGGCAGGTGGCTACCGTTACCTGTGTTAGCTGGCTACCGTTACCTGTGTTAGGTGGCTACCGTTACCTGTGGCAGGTGGCTACCGTTACCTGTGGCAGGTGGCTACCGTTACCTGTGGCAGGTGGCTACCGTTACCTGTGGCAGGTGGCCTCCGTTACCTGTGGCAGGTGGCCTCCGTTACCTGTGGCAGGTAGCTACCGTTACCTGTGGCAGGTGGCTACCGTTACCTGTGGCAGGTGGCTACCGTTACCTGTGGCAGGTGGCTACCGTTACCTGTGGCAGGCGGCTACCGTTACCTGTGGAAGGTGGATACCGTTACCTGTGGCAGGTGGCTACCGTTACCTGTGGCAGGTG